TATTCCGTTTCGGTTAACCTCTAAAACCGGTACGATACGGTACAAACTACCTTGGTGTGACACATCTTCTGCCATAGGGGTTGAGGATTCTTACTCCAGGTTCGCAACCACCAATTCTTCATATGTGACGAGGGGAGGCTCGATGGAAGCATTTCCATCCACCAATGTATCCCGAAAGGATTTTACCGCCGGCGTTGGGTTGGGACTGGGTTGGGAGGGCACCACTGTAGGTGTGGCTGGATCTGGTCCTGGTGAGGGCGGAATGATGGCTAGTATGTCGGGCGGTGGGGGAAGGGAGGGGGGGATTGGGTCCGCCGAAGGGGGTTCAGAGGAAGCTGGGGAAACGAGAGACATTTTTTCGGATGCTAATAAAACTGTTTACTCTTAACTAACTATTAATTTAACGAAACTAAAATATTTTTGTTTCTTAAAGATCAGGAAATAAGGATCCAGCTTTTTCTCTCTGTTTATTTAATAATAAAATAATATAATTATAATCTCACACTATATGTATATTTATAATTATGAGTATTATTATACGATATTTGTATTTATTAATTGAATTTTTAAAAAAATTAAAAGACAAACAACTTAATTAAAATTACGTTATTTTATTAGATTATTATAAGAAAAAATTAAAATAAACTCAATTTTAATCTTAAAATATATTATTTTAATCTTTTTAATAAAAATTTACTAAATCAATAATATGTTAATTTGAATGAAAAAAACTAATTCCCCTTGGATAAAATCTTCAGTATTGTCAATGGATAAAAAGGCATTGATAAAACTTACTCCTTTATGGGTTGATCAAATCGCCTCCAAATTGGGAATGATCTAATGTAACTTTTAGATATTGAAAAGTTTGGTAACAATAAAAAATGAGAGTTCATTAAAATAATATAATTTTTAATTTTTTTTTCTTTTAATTTTTTAAAAATTTAATTGACAAATACTTTTTCTTTGTCACGTTACTGATTTTTCATCATTTCATTGTTTTTTATAATAATTTTATCTGTGATAATATATATTTACTTATTTAATAATATAAATTTATAATTTTATGTAATATTATAACTATGATATTAATATATTAATGAGTAATACTTTTGCAAAAACTACAATTAAATCACATACGGTTAATTTTTGTGGTAGGTCAAATTGTTAATTAAGTAATAAATTAAATGTGATTAGCAAAAGATTTT